CTTTCTTGCTTTTGACTAGGACTTCGTCGACGTAGGATTCCACGTTCCTTCCCATTTGTTCCTTGAAAACCGCATCCACCATCCTTTGATAGGTTGCTCTCGCATTCTTCAACCCGAAGGGCATGACTACGTAGCAGAAGTTTCCCATAGGTTTCATGAATGCAGTCAGCTCTTGGTCGTATTCCGCCATTTTGATATGATGGTAGCCAGAGAACATGTCTAGGAAGCTGAGTTCTTCATGGTTAGCGGTCCCATCAATGAGCTGGTCGATGTGGGGAAGGGATACGTGTCCTTTGGGCATGCCACGTTGAGGCTTGTGAAGTCGATACACATCCTCCAAGCGCCTCCGGATTTGCGTACAAAGACCGGGTTTGAGATCAAGGTGGGATATCGCACTTCCCGTATAAATCCGGCCTTAAGTAGACGCCACACTTCCTCTTCTAGGACCATTTGCTTCTCTAGAGACAAGTGTCCTTCGTTGTTTAATGGGTCGCGCCTTGGGCTTGACGGAGAGCCGGTGTTTAGAAACTTTACGGGGGACGCCAGGCATATCCTCCGGCCCTCAGGCGAAGAGGTCTTGAAACTCTCTGAGGAGCGTAAGTATCTTTTGAGCCTCTTCGGTGGCGAGATGCGCCGAGATGCGCATTGTTCTGTCCGTTCGCTCCTCATCTAAGGCAACTGCTATGTCTCCTTCTACCGCCTCAGGATGGGGTATGTCTCCTCTTGCATCAACTAGGTCTACTTCGAGGTGCTCAACGGTTGCTTGGTAGCATTCCTTGGCTTCATTTATGTTGCCTCGGACATGGCCTGTGTGCCCTCTACTAGTGAATTTCAACATTTGGTGGCATGTGGATGCGACCGCCTCAAAGGACGTGAGGAAGCCGCGTCCCAGGATGGCATTATAGGCCGAGAGGCAGTCTGCTACGTGGAATTCCACTGGCCTAGTCTTCGTGACTCCTCCTTCTCCTATGGTGACATTGAGTGTGATTGTTCTGAGGACACGAACCTTGGTTCTTGAGAACCCTACCAGACTGGTGTTGGAAGGGTTGAGGTCTTGCACGCTCTTCTTCATTCCTTTGAGTGTTGAGTAGAAAAGGATGTCGGCTGAGCTCCCGTTGTCTACGAGGGTGCGGGTGACTTTAAACTTGGCGGTTCTGAAAGAGATGACCAAGGGGTCCTCTGAATTTTCTTCTTTGGCCAGCTCGGTTGGGAGGAATGTGACGTCGGTTGGAACTCTGCGTTGGACTCTTAGGCAATGAGAAATGTGGTCTCCTTCAGACCTTGGGCGTTTCCTGCCCCCCGCGATGGTTATGACTTCCATTCCGTCGTCGTCATTGCGCTGGGTTCTGTAGGCGGGGGACTCCCTCTGAGGAGAGGCGACTTTGTTCCTGGTCGAGGATCGTGACCTATCCTTCCTCGACCTTCTTGTTTTGTCCGCTCTTGGGCTGCGAGATCCTTCCAGCAGTTCTGGGGAGTGGTCCCGGTGAGAACGCCGAGTTTCGAGGCGGCTCCGCAGGTCTCCCGGAGCCAAGTATCTCAGGCAGGCCTTGAACTCCCTACACTCGGTGGTGTTGTGAGTAGTGATTTGGTGTCAGTCGCACAACTTCTTTCCTTCCTGTGGTTCCTGGGTGGAAGGCGATTCCTGCCTCCTCCCACCTCTTTGTCTTTCTCTTCGTCTTTCTCGGTCGGAGGAGAATACTTCTCTTTTTTCGTCGCGCTCCGCGTATCTACTACGGTAGGAATTCCTTTTCGGGGAGCGCCTCCCCCGTCGTGCGTCCGTGCGCTCTGAGGGATCGTTCCTGGGATGTCCCTGTTGGCCACGGTCATCTGTGGCAAGCGCTTCTTCAAGCAAAATTGCTCGCCGCACCAACTGATCCAAGTCTGACCACGATGTCAGCATGGCTTCCTTTTTTATCAAGGTTCTCTTGAGCTCGATGCTGGTCGTGGATATTCTGAGATTTCCGGCGGCTACGACCGAGGAGATGCCTTCCACTTCACAGGCGATCGCGTTCCATCAATCGTAGAACTCCGCGAGCGACTCTTCCTTCCTTTGCCTGCAGTTTATGAGGGCCGAGACGGTAAGCGTGCGACGTCGTTGGGAAGCGAACTTCGTGGAGAAGAGCAAAGCTAATTGCTCGAAACTCTCGATTATCCCTTCTGGAAGGGAAGTATACCATGTTCGGCATTGACCGCTGAAGGTGACGGGGAACGCCCGACACAAATCAGAGTCTGACGTATTGATGAGTTGCATCTTTAACATGAAGGCGCAAAGGTGGTCTGCGGGATCTGAGGTCCCGCTGTAGGTTGGTAGTCCGAGGGAGGAGAAGTTTGGTGGTACCGGAGTTTTGAAGAGTTCCTTCGACAGGGGGTTTTGGAGAACATTCGGACTCTTGTGCTTCCCATAGGTTGAGCGGAGATGCTCTTCGAGGAAGCTGAGTCCATGTCTTCTACGTCCGGTCCCCCGCCTTCTGTCGGAGCAGGGCTGCCTGGGACATGGACGGCTTTCTGTTTCTCCTCACGCGCCCTTCCCCTTGAACCCTCGGGGGGGGGGGGGGGGGGGGGGGGGGGGGGGTCTTTCTTGGCCTTTAGAAGTTGAAGGATTTGAGAGAGGCTGTCTTGCATGCTTGCGATTTGCAAGCCCTGACTTTTGACCACTTCTTCAAGCTCGACTTCATCTTCGCCTCTCAGCGATAGGCCTCGGAGGGTGTTGTTCTCTGTCATCACTTTGAGAGGTGTTTCAAAATCGTCTCCCAAAATGTTTGTGCTTGGATCGTACCAAGCGGTTTTGTGAGTCCCAACGACCTCGAGCGGCTTCAATGGTCGAAGGCGGTCTCCGAATACCTGCAAGAAAGGTCCTCAGGGGGATCCTGGGACCTCCTTCGATGCCTAAGTTAGAGAGAGGATTGAGAGAATAGTAAATAAGAGAGAGAATGGAGTAGTTGGAAGTTACCATAAATGTGCATTGATGGTATTTATACTAGTTGAGCATAGGAGTGAGGACAACTTACGCTCTGTCGGGCGACCTAGGGGCGCCTCTGGCTTCCATTAAATGCATAGTCAGATTCGTACTTTGGACACAGTAATATGACTGTTAAAAAGTGGGAAGGGTTATTTAATTAATGACATGGGTAGTTTGGGTATTACGAAAAATTACGAAATATACAAACCGCACTTACAATCAGTAAAAACCATACAAACATAAAAACAGTACAAACTACGACGACAAAATATACAAACAGATTTACAAACATATGAACTGTACAAACAATACAAACTAGACTGACAAACAATACAAACCATACAAAAAAGAAAAAACAACCGGGTTGACTTTGGAGTCTCCATCCCTATATATAGGGCTTCGTCTCAAAGTCAACCCGGTTGTTTTTTAGACATACAAACATTACGAACATGGTGAAAAAAATGACAAACTAGACCGACAATCCATACAAACTAGAAAAAACACACAGGTTGACTTTGGAGGCTCCATCCCTATATAGAGGAGTTTCATCCAAAAGTCAACCAGGCTGTTTTTTAGACATAAAAAACATTACTAACATGGTTCACAAAAATGATAAACATGGTTCACAAAAATAACAAAGCTTACAAACATTACAAACAAACCCGAGAAACATTACAAAATAACAAAGCGTACAAACATTACAAAATAAAGCGACAAACAGTACAAAGCATAATAGACAAAAATGACAAACAATACAAACCGAGTTGTCTGTAAACATTACAAACCAGACTTACAAATATTACAAAATAGAATGGCAAACATTACAGAACTCCCGCTGTCGTCGAAAAATCTCGTCGGCTCCAAGGAATTATTGTCGACGTCGGAAAATCTCTCTCTCTATATATATATATATAGAGAGAGAGAGAGGAGTTTCAGATAAAAGTCAACCAGATTGTTTTTTAGACATAAAAAACATTACTAACATGGTTGACAAAAATGATAAACATGGTTCATAAAAATAACAAAGGTTACAAACATTACAAACAAATCCGACAAACATTACAAAATAACAAAACGTACAAACATTACAAAATAAAGCGACAAACAGTACAAAGCATAATAGACAAAAATGACAAACAATACAAACCGAGTTGTCTGTAAACATCACAAATCAGACTTACAAATATTACAAAATAGAACGACAAACATTACAAAACTCCCACTGTCGTTGGAAAATCTCGTCGGCGCCGAGGAATTATTGTCGACGTCGGAAAATATCTCTCTCTCTCACTCTCGGGGATAAGATAAAAAGTGGGAAGGAGTTATTGAGCAGGATGGAATTCCCATTCCGTAACTGACAGTGGGATAATGTCGTTGGCCGGCAACGGGGACGAGACGGACACTAGCAACCGGGAAAATGAAGAGACGCGGCGGAGGTGGGGAGGGAAGAGCCGGAGGGAAAAAAAATTTAATAATTAAAAATAAAAAATAATGAAATTACTGTTTTGTCCTTCATTAAATTAGATTAATTATAGCCATTGTATTTTAATAATGAGGATTACTAAGATTCACTTAGTCATGCGACTAAAGAATCTCCCTTAATCACCAGATCTTGTCCCCTTTCTCCCCCTCCCCAATCCCACCACATGATCGACTATATACGCATATCACCATAACCAGTATCTGTTTCTCAAATTTCCCCCAACAAACAAATCAACAATGGGTTGCTGCATCGACAAGTGCAAGCCCAGGAAGCCAAATTTCTCCACTACCGCAGAAGAATTCCGCCATGTCCAGGACAAGCTTGTCGTCTCCCAACAACCTCCCATCGCCAGAACTCCACCAATCTTCCACTATCACCACCATCCATCCAACAAAATCTCCCCCATCTTCCTTCTTCTTCTTCTTCTTCTTCTTCTTCTTCTTCTTCTTCCGTTTCGCTTCCTTCATTCAGCAGCAGCCTCCGTCGCGGAAGCCTCAACTCCACTACCACCACCAACAATAGTTGCAGGAGTGATCTATTTGAATTCCTTCAAGGATTGCGCCAATAAGCTGCCAGAGTCCCCTGTTCCGATTTTGAAACAAGAGAAGAGACAGAGTGTAAAGGGATGCTCAATCGCAATGCCGCAATTATCAAAATAAATTATGAATCATAATAATTATAATTATCAAAATAAATTACTTAGAGGTGGAATAGATAATGAGGTGGGATTTCCATTTTGATAATTAAAATTTTATGTTTTATTTATTTTTTAATTATTATGATAATGAGGTGGAATTTTTAAATTTTTAAATTTCCACGTCACCTATTTAACGGTCAACTACGAGAGTTGACTGCCACCTCAGCAAAAGTTAACGGAGACTAACGGCCAGTGACCAAACTTGGCCTGTGTAACTAATTTGAGTGACTATGGATGGAATAAATTAATATGAGTGGCAAATGTAAACTTTTATAGTAATTCCACTATTCCAGTGACCAAATTTGCAATTTACCCATAATAAAACGTACAACTCCGTTTAAGTTCATTAGTGAAATGACGGAAGTGACCTTTCGCAAATCAATTTGAGGGCTGCATTTTCAAAATGGAGCAAATCCAACCCATGAATATGCTTTATATGTTTTGTAGATGAGATAAGATGCTAATCCTTAAGGGTTAGCACCATACTAACTTAATAGCTTTTAGACTAAAATAATAATCCTAGAGTTAAAATTAATTAGAGGATAGTTCAGCAAATATCCCTCAAACTCTAATATAAATTAAAATAAAAGCTTTTAGACTAAAAACCCTACAGCAACCGCCTCTCATAATTTCTCTCCCACGTTTCTCTTCCACTCTTCCTTCTTTCTCTCTACCTCTTCTTTCTCGCACTCGATTCCAGCAAGGAGAAACGAAGAAGACGGTGGTTGATGGAGAAGATGACAAATCGACGCGGAGGAGAAATGAAGAACACAGCCCTCGCCAGATGATTACAGTCAGCGAAAGAGAAGAAACAAAGAATACGACGCTTGCAGAGGTGATTATAGTCAACAACGAAGGAGAAACAAAGAATAAGATGCTCACGGAGGCAATTATCGTCGACAGCAGAGGAGAATCGAAGAAGATGATGCTTGTAGAGGCACTCGCTCGAGAGGAGAAGTCGAGATTATAGAGGCAAAGGTCGTAGGGGGAGATCTGGATCGCAGAGATCGTGCTCACCCGCGTTGGCGATATGGTCGGAACCATTCGACTTGAATCGTTGGGTCAGCGGCAACGACAAAGCAAAGTGGCTGGTTGGCTAGAAGTGACCAATGAGTACAGATTTAGTAGTGTTTTCTTCTTAGGGTTTGTGTAGTAGATCCGAATATTGGGGTAGGAAAACCAGTGGTGTTTTCTTCTTAGAATTCTTTCTTAGTAGTGTTTTCCCCCCTCAATAATTGTGTGGTAGTGGTTTTCTTTCAACGTAATGTGATTTAGCAATAATATTAGTGGTGATTCTATAGTAGGTATTTTATAATAGTGGTTTCCATTATCCAGTAGTAATTTTACTAAAAGTCGGCAACGACTACTACTTAATAATCGGTAAAACACTACTATAAACCACCAAAATAACTGCTTAAAAATCAGTAAAACACTACTAACTAGATTAAAATAACTACGATACATATAAAACACTACTATAAGACCTCATAATTGCTAGTATGTTTTGATTGTATTTTTCTAGTAGTATTTTTCACATAAAAATCTCTCTAATTGAAGAAAAATATTTTAAATATTTTATTAAATTTAATTTCACAAAATACCAAATCTACGACTCATTAATTTCCACCATTATATTTACTTAAAATTAATGAATGGTGATTAGAATGATTAGTATTGTGCTAACCCCTATGAAGTTAACACTCTAACTCCTCCATAAAGTTGTCCATGGCTCAGACGGATATGTGGCAGTGACATCCGGTCTACGAGTAGTCGAACCTTATGGCGGTTCCTAGGGTCGCCAACAGTGCTGCTCATAGAGTGGCGCGTAAAGCACTGCTTTTGTCTCTCCTAGAGTTACCGTCTTTTGATTTTGTTGGGTGGTTGCATTAGGATTTCGATTATAAGGGGTTACTGGGTAGTTTTGTTTGTATAACTCTTTTCTGATATCACTCAGAAATAAATAAAAGAACTTCTCCCTAAAGTATTATTTCTCATTAAATATTTGTGATTGCTTTTTTACAAAAAAAATCAAGGTATTTGTTGGCCCATTCTCTTTGGACCTCTTTGATTTTGGTAGCTAACGCACATACACTAGAAGCCCGTAGTTTAAGATTTGGGCTCTTGTCAACCAAAATTTGGACAAGAGAAGAGCAAATCCAAGCCCATATTCCGTGGATGTACTCAGTGGGCTAGATACTGATAGTGATAATGGAGACTATCTATGATAATGAATTAACGATGCTACAATTAAGAAATTAATGAGTTAATAGTATTTTATACCCTTATATTATTACAACTTAACAAATATCCTCTTGTACCATTTTTTTCACAAAGATATCATTCATCTATCACAACATAACAAATGTACCCTTCTGTCCACATTTCCGTTAAATAACCGTTATGGTATAAGAAAGGACCAAATTAACCCTATTTTCTTATTTTTTATTCATTTTTCGAAACAAAATAGAAGCAGTTAAATGTTCTTTTAATTTTCCGTTCGAGAATCGAGAAACCCCCACCATTTTTTTTTGTCAAAGATATCCCAAAAGGGAACAGCTAGATACGAATTGGAAACATTTTCAGGCAACCATAATAATACAAATAAGAGAAAGGGACGACGGTCGACAAATAGCCTAACCATCGATAAGAGAGCCTTTTCGCCACACAACGACAACTCTTTATACCTATACGGCATGGGCAATATCTATGACTTCTATCCTATAAATAGGGAAATCATCAAATTAACCATGCTGAAAGTGAAGCAGAGAAGCAAATCGTATCAGTTTTGACGGGAAGTCGGGAACAATCACCAATCAAGCGCCTTCATTGCCCACAAAAGAATAATTTGAACACCCAAAAAGGCAAAAGCCACAGCAACAGGTTTACCTGCAAAACAAATAAATACCAAAGCCAAACCAAGCCCCGCAAGCAAACTGTCAAAATCGGGCTGCTCCATTAGTACGATATTGTCCGCTTTAGGCCAAGCCCGCACGGTTTTACTCTTGGGTGTCCTTCCCAAAAGGCCTCATACTAATTGGGCTAGGTGGACACTTATATACAAGGGTTCCTTCCCTTGTATTTCTGATGTGGTACTAGGATTGCCTCCCCTCAAGAAAAGGACCACGAACTTTGTGTCCTCACCTCATTGATTATCTTGATCCGCCAGACGCCTTGTATCGATGGGCTTCTTGGTACAAGGACTTTACCAGACGCATAACTCTCTTTGCTCTGCTTCCCAAATGCGGAACTCTCTTTGATCCGCCAAAGCCCAAACATGGATCTCTCCTGGATCCACCAAACAGACGTGCATAGCCTTTGACCCCCTAGACAAATGCAGATCTCAAAGTCCGAGGTCCCCGAATGAGGGTCCACCAAACTAATGTCGAACGCCCTGAACCGAACCATGCTCTGATACCACCTATCATAACCGGACTGCTCATTAGTACGATATTGTCCGCTTTGGGCCAAGCCTGCACGGTTTTACTCTTGGGTGTCCTCCCCAAAAGGCCTCGTACTAATTGGGCTAGGTGGATACTAATATACAAGGGTTCCTTCCCTTGTATCTCCGATGTGGTAAGCTGCAACGCTCGCGCTACTCGCTGTTTTCTCCCTCGGCGCTCGCCCAAAACATTGTCCTCGCTGCCCGTTCTCTCTTGTTCCATGCTCCCTAGTCGCCGCCAAGCTTCTCTCGCCGCACTGCTCCCAGCTGTTCTCCTCCAATTAATTATGTTCCCGTTTTTTACTTCCCCTTTGTTTTTGTGTCCAAGTAATTCCCCTTTACTGCTTCTCTCCCAGTCCAAGTCTTATTGTCCAATCCCTCTTTAGAAGAGGACAAATAAGATGGGCAAAAAATTCTTCCCCTTAGCCTTTAATCACCCATTGTCCAACTTATTCCGCCAGCTCCATGTCTCCAGCAAATTCTTCCCCTTGGACCGGCCCAATCAATTATTTATTGTGGGCTGATTGGTCGTGTTCCATCAGCAACTTTCACGATCCTGGTCCCAATAGGTCTTCTTCAGCTTTCCTTGTACTTGTTTTCCCATTTGCCTGTGCTACGCCAATCTGCCCGTGCTGCTATTTTTTTCATTTTCTTCACCTAAAACACATAAAAAAACTCTAACACCGGATGGTAATGGCTTTTCAACCATTCCACAGTCAATTGGCTCTAAAACAAGCATTCTATGTCTCAAACATATCATGAAATAATCACATTAAACACATGGAATCAATATGTTTTCGAAAATTATCACAACCCCACACTCAATACTTGCTTGTCCCAAAGCAATGACTTAGACAAGAGAACGATAATTGGAGAAACACAACACATACCACATAGACACAACCTTTGCTCAAGGAACAAGACCCAAGACACACAATACACAACATCAATCTAAGAAATTTACCCTTTATACTCTTGTAATAATCATTATTTTCTTTCTCGCTGGATGAGATGTGCTTTAATGATCATACCTTTCACCCCACACTCAAGGTCTTGCAACCCTTTACCATTGACTGACTCAAATCAGGTGCAACTAACCACATTAGCAACACTCAATTTCGATCGTCGGTAGTGGGAAACTAATAACTTATGGTGTAACAGTTATTAGGAGAATCTAACCACACAAGTGAGGTGCATATCTCGTAAGGACAGTCTGGCCTACTCACATCAATCATAAGTAATCAACTAAGCACAAGAGTCCAAAAACTAATGGGGGAAGCTTTTAGGAAACTTTATTTTAACTTTAAGCACATCACTACCTTTTCTGACAAGGAGAGTCTTTCTCTCTTTCTGATTTTGCTTGCCGAGTGGTCGTATTTAGTACAAGTGGGATTTGTTTCTTACTACCGGTGACCGAGCAAGAGTAATTTCTGCTTCTTAGCACTCGCATAAGGGTTTCTTTGAACTCCTTTCCCTCGGTCCGTGTGGAGGGTCAGTGCACATCCTCAAACGACACTTCACTCAACGGGGGATCGTACTTGATAAGCAACATCGTACGGTCGCGAACCGATGCTCATTTGAACTTTTCCTAATCCCCCTATGCAATGAGTGATTGCCTCACACGATTTTGGTATTTTTACCCACACTTTAATTGTTATGGCAACTTTCTTATATTTTACTTGTTAGGTAGGGTTTTCTCATTTATAAAGATACAGTTCAACCCATCATAAAACCTTTTAAAATAGAGAGACTCATTGCAAAGTCAAGAGCTCACAACAGATGTAAGTACGCACGATATCCAAACATGTCGAGTGGTCAATGTTCTCCACCTAACTACTTCATCAAAAGTCATTACACTATCCTCGCAAAATAGAGTGTTCTAAAAGAGTTTCCTATTTCAAAGCATATCAAGTCAGTCAAACTATCAAGCTCATTGTGAAGAAGTTTGCAATTCAACACTACTGGGGTGATTTTGACGATTTCATTCACGCACAAACTCATTTAAAAGGCATCACGGTCATTTAGATCATGTTACCACAAGAGTACAAGGTTTTGTTTTTATTTTTTCTGATTTTTAGGTGTTCTTTAGCCATTAGGTTGGCACAAGCAGATTGCCCCTGCATAGGCAGACTGCATGCGGTTAGCCGTGCACATCCTAATGACAGTTTTCTCCTTTTTTTTACCACATGACAAAAGGAACAAACAAACCATAGGACTCACCATCCCACACTCAGGATGGAACATTGTCCTTAATGTTCAACTCCTAATCTAAACATGCACGAGTTTGACACAACAAAAAGAAAAATAAAGAAAAGAAAACTCACCTTGGGTTGCCTCCCAAGAAGCACTTGTTTAACGTCCTCAACCTGACGTTCATGGAGCTTTCAACCAATGGGTATGGATATCCAGAATACCCTCTCGAGCAATGATAGAATGCATAACCTCCATCTAACATATGAGTCACCTCTGCAGGGCCAGGTGTGCGAAAACTGGGTATGACCTTCTTAGCTTGCATGTTGGACCCTTTAGTGAGGCGTAGGTGGTATTACAGTGCCTCAAGCAAGTACTCTTCCTTCTTCCATGTCAGTGAAGAAGGAATAATAACAGGAAGGTTAAAATCCTTACCCAAATATCTATACTTGAGATGACCTGGCAAGGATTTCTGTCCTTGCTTTGATTTCAGAATCCGAGCTGATAGGACATGTGATCGTTCTTCTGGTGGTCCACTATCACAAGAAGAGGAATTTTTCCTTTCTCGAGCTCCACTTTCAAAGTCATCAAATGCGTCGTGATTATTATCAACT